CTCCGCAGGAGGGTTCTGCCTGGCCTTGTGTGTGCGCCATTGTCCATGAGGCAGCTCTGATCTTTAGGGGGTCAGTGGTGGCTGCTACCCGCAGCTTACCCAGCTCAAACTGTGTGGAGAGCATTTACTCACCAACTGTCTCTGGGACTATGACTTCCCTCGTCCTAGCTCACATAAAATCCTAGCGCTTCTTAAGAGCCAAGCGCCAGATGCTGCCCTGATACCTCACCTGCATCATCTCACTGATTCCTCAGTTTGTGCTTATTTGACAAATACAACAACCAAAACCAAGAGGGAATAAGTACATGGCCAAAGTGAGACCCCTGGTAACTGGCAAAGAAAGATGTAAGCCCCGGAAGGCTGGATCCAGTGTCCACACTTCCGTGTAGTCTCTACTGTCTTTCCTTATGCCACATACTATAGGGATACATCTAGGATCCAGGCTCGATACTGGGTGGGTCCTATACAAAAGAAGGGCCAACACTGCCCCCTAAACGGAGACTTTCTAATTCAACTTCCAGGGCGGGGGTCATGCCAATAGCACCATGAGCTCCTGGTATACTTCCCAGTAACAAAGATACCAAACCCCTTGAGGTGATTCTGCAAGCACCTCAAGAGACAGCAAAATGAAGCCTGTAGGTGGAAAGGAAGCCATTTACCGTCTTTTATTTAAAGATATGTTGATGCAGAAAAGAATGATGCTTGGTGAACAAACACTCATACCGGATTACGATGGGTCAGGCTTCATGTCCCCAAGCACCCCTGAGAATGGGGACTAAAGCCGGGCCTTTTGAATTGAGCTACCTCCTCAAACCCTTTGTTAAAATTTTGTGACAGGGTTTTGCCAAATCAGTAATTGCCCAGTGTTATGGTTTGTGTCTAGTTGTCCCCCCAAAGCCTCATGCAGTTAGGGCGGGGACTTCTAGAGTTTGAGATTAACTCATGATCCACTGGGATTATGGGTGTGTGTACTTCCCCAACCTGGGGCAGATAGCCTGAATGTAATTTAAGAGAGACAGACTTCCTCTCTGTAGACATTGTTGCTGCTACTCCTCCATTTTGCTCTCTGCTC